AGGGCACCACCTGCCAGTTATCTTGTATAATAATGCTCTTGGCTTGCATGCCAAATGTCAACTAATAGAGGAGTCCCACTAGTAGTTACGTTAATCTCTAGACAAACCGCTTCATAGCTACGTCTCTCCAACAAAAATTTTGTTTTTTTATTTAGTCAGATTTTTGGTTTAAATGATCATCAGGAAGAGTTTTTTTTTTAGAGTTGGTATTGTTTATTTTTTTTTTATATTTGTTTTTATTTTATTTTATATATATTTATTTTATTTTTTTATTTAATATATTTTTTTACTTTTTTTTGTCTTTATTTTATTTTTCATTTATTTTTTATTTTTTTTATCTTAAAAGGAACCTCTTGGGTCTAGGAGTTTATTATTAAAAGTTTAATTTTAGTTATAGTAAGAGTATATCAAGCTATACTGTATATACACTTTTGGTGCCTAATTTAAGTAGTTTACTCAAAGATTATACACTATCTGCTATATCTGTATTCCAACTACAAAGATACTTATTTAAACCCTCTAAATATAACTTAATTCCAAGTCAATAAGAACTCCTAACCTGGTAGATGCATGTACTATGTCTTTTTACCTTTGAATTAACCACCCTATTCTAAGACTTACTAGTTTTTCAAGCCAGTTTATCCTCAATACAAACCTGCTAAAGCAATATATATCTACTTATGCATTTATTTAAACTGCAGTAACTTATGCTATAACTTAACATATACTTGGAGTCAGAGCTAACTATTAAATCCTTACAATTATCTATTTTTGCTATTGTATGGTTTGTAATTATATAAACCCAAGTACCCACTTCATGTTCACTTTTTCTTAAACTGCTTCCTTGGTTTTCTCAAACTACCAATTTAGTTGGCCTAGTAAGGTTGGCCTACCCAAGCTTTAAGTGCCTTATGGACTCCAATTATTGATAATATCTTTTATTTGCTTACAGAAATTAATGCGTATAAACGAAATGAAATACGAATTTAAGTATATATATAATAGTATATATATAATATTTGGATTAATTAATAATATTAAGCAGTAAATATTCCCCTGTTTAAAACATATGATTAAAGTCCGAATACTGATTTAAATAATGCACACCTGTTTTTAATTACGTAATAAAAAACATTTGCCATCCCTAATTGTCAGCTTATTTAAATCCTTGGATCAATAAACGTAAATAAAATGAAATTAAATAGTGAATATTCATAAAGTTGAATACAGTAGTTTAAAATTTTAAACTAATGATATTTTTTAATACTATATACCGATTGTTATTGTATTATAAAATATCATTCTATGTGCTGACTGATGAAATTTTGACCAATAATAATCGATTCACGTGATTAAATCTATAAAAATTTTCGTGATTACATGATGTAGCCAATCAACGCGGGTTTTACTAGTTGGCGACGCGGGTTTCACCCTATAAATTTGATAGTTTTGTTCGGGAATCTTTCCTCTACACGCTTAAAAAAGCACATTTGATATAAATTTGTTTCAAAAATTTGAATAGAACAAAAATCATAGAACGCGTTTCTCGAAGTTAAGTATTATTAATATCTGTTTATGGTACACACGCGTCTCTATTGTTGCATGGGGACCACCAGGCCCTACCTGGCAGTCCAACACGAAGGGTAGCCTACTTGGTCGGACAGCTTGATGTCGAAGGACAGATTGGATGCTGGCTTGTAATGCCCCAGGGTTTACGTGCAAATCTTCCGTGTTCAACACATGTGTTAGAAAGGAGATTGCGGAATGAGTCGACTTCTGGGAAGGGTGTCGGTCGGGCGGTCGCAGGACGTTACCACTCTTCCCTATTTGTCCAACACAAAGGGGGGCAAGGGTCAGAGCAAAGATTGCCTGCGAACTTCATGTGCTCAACCGCATGATTGCGAGCGATTAACCTACCCCTGGGAGGGGACTGTTAAGAATAAAATATAACGAGTCCGTTTTGTTCAATTTATTAATTGTTCTTATTTAAAATGATAGATGGGCAAATTTGATAATTTCGTGCTAAATTCAAATCTTTGTGAATCTCATATTGGAATCTGTGATTTTTTCTTTACAACCAGTTTGAGGTGGTGGTTTAATATTGAAAGTTTCACAAATTTTATGTACAAGAAGGACCCAACATTAACTGCAATACAAGTGTTCGATGAATACACCCGAAACCTCTCAGAAATTGAAACTATTAATGACATTGATTTCAATGTTGCAAAATATATTAATACTTTTCGCAAAAAAATAGTCGTATGGTTTATTTTATTTTATTTTATTTTTTTATTAGCCTAATTTGATAGATTTACTTTCAAATAGAAAACAGAGTATCTGAAAATTATCGGCGATATTTTAATAGTAAAAATATCAACAGGTGCAAGTGTAAGCGTATAAAGATCGTTGGATTTTTAAATGCCAGTTGTATATTGTTCACTAAGAATGATCATTTTAGGTAAGGAAAAAGGTAACAACTCAAACCCAAAAAAAATTTAAAATAGCGGCAGAAAAGGATAAAGAAAATCGAAAAGCAGCTGTATATATCGATAGTCATGTAAGTACGTGTTCTGCAATGTAACGATATTATATTTATGATATTATTAACCTTTTACTTCCATAGAATGTGAACGATGAAATTAATAGTTTTTTTCAGAGTTCTCCTAAGAGACAATCTTCAGATCAGCTTTTTGAAGTGGTTGAGAGTGATGAAGATGAATCAGCTGAGGTATATTAATAATGGAATTTTTAATTATTTTATTCTATATATTTCAAGATTTTTTTTTAGTCGGGCTATGAGACGGGTGAAGAAAATTGTGATGAAGCTCCATTAAAAATAAACAAATCTGCTTTTCATGAAGCGCATAACGCTATTCCGAATAACGCTAAGATGCGGTTGAAATCAGGGAGGATAGTTGAAGACATTCTTTTCAATTACGTTAAGGATAAGGATTATGAAGAGTAAGCTCCTCATAACACCCGTATTTATATCTAAACAATCATAAATTCATTTAATGATCTATTTTCTTGCCTAAAAATTTGTCGTTCATGATTGATACATTAGACATGCGCATTCTTATATCATAGACTGTGAGAATGAGAACATAAAATCTTTATTCAGTGAGGAGGAATGGGAAGAACTGATTTTGGATCGATTGGGTGTTCCTTCGCTTCCGCAAGAAATTGCCAAAGAATTGGCTCGGTATGGAAAAAAATCACTAGAAGAGCTCCGTAAGATTGTAAATACGCCGTACCTTCAAGATGGTGTTGTTTACGACGTTCAACAACATTATGATTTGGAATGGATTCAAATGTCTGTTAGAACTCTTGTTAATCTATATGAAAATATGGACTCACCCTTAGTGCGAAACCAATACGAGGATTGGTTTACGGTTGCTCTTTTTGGGGCTTGTATAGACATGTGTATGAGAACTGCGCAACTTGGCACTGACGTAAAAAGGTGTTTAATATTCTTTTTATCATTTTTGTCCTTTATAGGTGCAATAATAGATCATCATTAGACATCTGATTTCTTGTTGTAGAACTGATGCACCATCCTTAGCCAGTGCTAATAGGAAAAATCGTAATCGACCAAAGAATGTAAGAAAGTTTATAGGTCGAAAAATCGATGGTATTGTTTACATAATCAACCGACTTCTTGAAGTGGGGGCAATAGAGGCGGCAAGATCTTTTTCTGGTGAATCGCATAGGAAATATCTTAATGAAAAATTTAAAATGCCAAAAACTTTGCGGGATATGCTAGCTGATCATATCCGGGCAGTCAACTATGATGAAGAAAAAATAAACAAAATTCAAGTTTTTGGAATACTGCATTTTGGATTGAGAATTCAGTTTACAAGATTATGGCGCACCGGAGGATCGATCACAATTTTCCACAAAGATCCTCAATTGTATTATTTAGATAACAAGTTTTCAGCAGAAGGAATAAAAATTTTTCTTAAATTTTTAGCTGAAGTTTATCGGTGTAAGGTAAAATTTTATTATATTTCTATATGTCTTGATACTGATATTAAATTTTAAATAGCTTTTCTAATCGTTTAAACAGCAAATTATTAAAAATAATTTAGATGTACTGAATAGCAGAGGAAGCGATGACATTGAATCGGGCGATAATGATTTATTTAACGAATTAATGGGCGTTGGTAGATCGTTTACACCATCCCCACGCTTGGTTAGATACTTTGCTGATTGTTGGAAGACGCCAAGAACAGATAGAAAACCCAAATCAAAGAAAAAGCGAAAGCTAAAGAGTAATTGATAGCACTTCAAATTTTATTGATTCTATGAAAATTGGCAATAAATTTAGTTCAACTAAATGGGTGTCTGCCGCCCAGGTTCAACTAATTAATAATTAGATATCGTAGACAATGTAATAATATCTATTACAATTATTGATGCTTTTACTTTATTAAAATATTTAAATTCTTTTTAATAATATACTGTATTTGTCAATGTTCAAAACGTTTATACGTTTTTTAAGCATGATGGAAATTTTTTTCGATTTGATATCTTTGCAAATTTATTCGAAAGAAAATATTATTTTACTAGTTATTACTCTTTAAAATTTATAAATATATAGATTAATATCGTACTATATACATGTTAAAATGTCAGAATCGTTTTTAATAGCGAATGTTTAAATAGTTTAATAAAAATTTAATTAAAAATTTCGATCTAACCATGGCGTGCACCCTCTATTAGTTAGAATTAGGTGGTGATTTGTACTGGGTACATAAGTATATCTGTCTCTTACTGTATATTCTCTACACACAAGTAGTACACAAGTACCCTGAAATGAGTTAGATCTTTACTATTACATGATTTTTAGACCAATAAAAATCACGTGTCCATCGCCAAATTTGGAGGTCGATTAAAAGCGGTGAGTTTTAAAAAATTGTCTAATTTAACGTTTATTTAAATGCTAGGTTGAGGTTAGAGTTAAATAAATTACAGGTAAAATCGCCTCCCCGACATTTTTTATTAATACACCAAAGTAGGGTTTAGACTACCGTTTCTTGTATTTTCTCTTTTTTCTGTTTTTGTTTCGCCAGCGATTATCAAAAAATTCACCCCATCTCCCGACCAAGGACGATGATTTTATGCCGCATAAACTGCATAATATAGCCGACAACGCATAACAGGTTATATTTGCCGCATAATGTCGCATAAAATATGGCACTATTAAGTAATTATCACACAACTGGCTCTAAGTGCTGTTCTGAAAGGCTTCGAATAGAAAATCAATCAACACAAATTACAAGCAAGGTCGAGAAAAAATTGAAGTTCCCGAACGATGCTGCTCACTTTACCGGCAATCATTTTACCGAAAGTTCATTTAGCTGACATCACATAGAGTTAGTGTTAGCGTTTTATTAGTTGCAACATATTTTCAGTAAATTGTCACTTGGCGTGGTGTCGGCTAAGTGAGCTGTCGGTGAAATTATCGGTAAAGTAAGGCATATCCAGTTTCGAATTATTACGAAGGACGGTTTTCATAGTTATAAAACTGTGCATTTTATGCGCAAGACATAGCATAATTATAAATTTTGGGAGCAAAATACTAACACAATTAAGAAAAAACATATGCGCATAAAAGTGCATAATTTACTTTTGTTGCATGCATAATCGATAGTTTATTGCAGCATAAAATCATCGTCCCTGCTCCCGACGCACTAATTTTCACCCACCTTGTATCTAATTTTTACATACTTATAGAATTGAAATAAAAAAGGTTCATTGAATTTGACCTGGTAGTTATCAAGAAACTTCATTTAAAGTTTTAAAAAACCATCGTAAATCATGAAATATGGCTACGATCATGGTTAAATTTAAATGAAATTTTCTTAATTGATAAAAATTTTTTTATTTTAATTTTCAAAATTAAATAAAAAATTTTTATCAAATTTGGATAGTGGTTGTTAAGAAATATTGAAAATTATTATATACTTGACATAACTTACCTAGTCTAATTCGATAAGATTTTTTTATTTTATTTTATAATTTCGGAATGATCAAATTTGGTCAGGTACGTATCAAATAATTCTGTTCAAAGTTTTGGCATCAGTAAAAAAGCTGCGGCAAATTTTTTTTTAACTTCCAATCAATACTACAATATTTCTCAACAACTATCTACCCAAATTCGATAAAATTTATTTATTTAAATTCTACATACTCACAGAATTAATATGTTTTTAAATAAACTTTAAGACAAAGAGCGTCACAATAAATTTTTTTATTTAAATTTTAAATGATGATTTCTCAACACTATCTATCCGAAAATTTTATTATAATTTTGCGAGTATGTAGAATTAAAATAAAAAAAATTTCATCAAATTTTAGGTTAAGAATTATTAATTGAATAGCTTTTTTTTACTGATAGCAAACCTTTGAACAAAGTTTACTCGATAAAATTCGATTTTATTTTAATTCTGAGATTATAGAATTAAAAAAAAAAAATTTTTGACAAAATTAAACTAGGTATGTGCAAGTAAAAATTTAGGTATTAGTAAAGAAGAAGCTGCGGGAAAATTTTTTTTCTCAATAACGACCTATCTAAATCTGATAACTTTTTTATTTTAATTCTATATATTCAAAAAAGTTTTCATCGAATTTGGTTTAGTAGTTATCAAGAAATTTTCATTTAAAGTTTTAAAAAACCATAATTTTCGATTGTTTTTTAAAAATTTAAATCAAAAGGTTAGTGCGTCACAGTCATGTTAATTGACGATCTATTCTCTCGCCTTAGACGTCTCCCAATTTCGTCCAATCAGAAATATGACAGTTCGGGTAGAATCTTGAAATTCAAACGTATCATATAAATGACAGAAGAATTGAATATTCTATCTGCACGGAAGAAAAGTCGTACCTTTACAGATATAATCCAATTTCATATTTTATTACGCGATAATGGAAAATTCACAGCCTGCCAGTAACGCGACGGACACCCCTAATCAACAGTCTCAACCACAAGCGTCGTCCTATTCTCAGCTTCAAGCTCAAAAACCTTCTCACCAATTTACATCGCCACCGCATAATCCGAAACCAAAACAACACGATAATATAGATAGACTGTATACGCCACAGCTCAAGTTTACCAACTTTGCAGCACAAACACCGATAGTAACAAAGTACGTAACTTCAAAGTTTTTAAGACATGACGTTTCATACTTTCGGAGGGAAGAAACTAAGAAAGAAGTGGTGAAAGAAAAGGAAAAGGAAGACGAGATGGAAGAGGATGAAGAGGAGGCTACTACAGAGGAAGAAGAGGTAGTAGGATGATATTTTTTACATATCAAGATTCCTTGATTCAAGGTCCTTAATCGTGACTGTTTTTATAGCCAGAGCAAGAGGGTTCAAAAGTTTTGGTAATACATCCTGGGTCAAAATATCTAAGGATTGGGCGTGCATCAGAAGCATTCCCTTATGTAGTTCCACACGTTATTGCACGAAAATTGAACTATGAAAAAAAAACTGAAAAATACGAGGAAAACCATATAATCAAGGAAGAAAACAAGCAAGAAGACAAGCAAACTGATAAACAAAAAGACAAGCAAGAAGACAGCTTAGAAGATAGGCAAGAAGACAAACAAGAAGATATGCAAGAAGACAAGCAAAAAAGCAAATATGAGGACAAACAAGAAGAAATTAATACAAATTTTGAGGATGCAAGAATGTCAATTGAAAAAAATACTGATATAACAATGGAAAATGATGATACAAAGTCTGATAGTGGTGAGAATTGGTCCGGATCTATGGGTTCACCGGCTGTTATGGAAGAAGTAGAAGAAGACGAGGTTTAGCATCAATAATTGATATGATAATATTGCATTTCGAAATGACTACATCGTTTTTTATAATTCCTATTATTTGTCTATCTATTTGCTTGATATTAAAGGAACAATTTACTCAAGTCTTAAATGAGATAAGAAAAGAGTTAAAAGATAGAATGAAAACTTCAAAAAGACGACCGGTGGCTAATGCACAAGCGCAAGTTTTATCGTTTAACAAATCAGCTTGTCCGGAAACAATCGCAGATCATAACGACCCTTACAAAGTTGATTGGAATGAAGTTGACGAAAATGTGAACTATTATGTTGGGGAAAAGGTAGGCGAAAGGTATGAATTTTTATTGATTAGGTATGGTTGATATAGATTTATAAATATCAATGTAATTGATCTTTTTTCCGTACGATTTTTAGGCTCTTCGTCTACACGATAAAGAGAATAAATTTAAATTATTCTATCCAATACAACATGGTGAATTTAATACTAGGGATTATAATTCCATTAAAGCAGTTGTTGGAGATGTGGAAACAATTTGGGCCGGGACGATAACAGAGAAGCTTGGGATATCTTTGAAGAATTTTAAGGCATGCAATAATATGTTAATCAAATTTTTAACATGTCATAGAATAAACATTAATCTATCTCTTTTGCATACATTAGTCGTATTCTATAATACTCATTATTCCTGACATCTATAATCGCCCATACGTCTCGGAGATGATAACAATGCTACTACGTTATATGGGATTTCATCGTGTTTTTATAGCGCAAGAATCGGTTTGTGTGAGTTTCGGTGCTGGTATATCGGTTGCATGCATTGTGGATATTGGTGCTCAAACATCCACAGTTGCTTGTGTGGAAGATGGGATGTGCATTCCGGATTCAAGGTATGAACAGATAATATATTCAAATAATTTTTAAGTATCAATTTTTTTAAGTCGTAGGCAATTATTGAATGTACGCTCTATAATTCGTTTATAGAATATGTCTGCGCTATGGAGGTGACGATATCACATCATTCTTTATAAGGCTCTTGCGAAAGAGTAAATTCCCATATGCCGAAATGGATTTAAATCGTATGTATGATTGGATGTTGGCTGAAGAAATGAAAGAAAAATTTTGTACTCTAGATGAAGTAAGATTTTATATTAAAATCGGTTTAATGCTTGAATTTCTAATATATCCTAAATTTTATGTGTTTTTACTCAAGGCTAATCTTGTAATACAATTGAATGAATTTTATGTGAGAGCACCTAATCAACCAACATTGAAATATCAAATTAAGACGTATGATGATGCTATTATTTCACCTATGGTATGTAATATTACTACTTCAATCGTTGTCAATATCAAATATGTTAATTATTTAAATTTTTTTAGTGCCTTTTTTATCCTCATATAATTAATTTTCACAAAAAATCGGCTGAATTCCCTCCTAAATTCACATCTTTTGTGATTGATGATATGACAGAGGGTGTTAATACCTCTACGGGAGTATGTTATTGATTCATCTTATATCGTGTCATTCATAATTTCAGATTACGATATTTAAACATATCTCTTAATAGCTTTCACCAAGTCTAGTAATGCAAAAACCTAAGCTTTCTGTTGCAACTCAGGCAACACAGGTTAAAACATCGTTTCCATCACCGTCACCACAACAGCGCGATAGTCCTGGTCCAATGACACCTCTTAGACTTGAGAACTCTGCTGCACCGACCAATGGGCCTTCACCCACTTCAAACACAACGCCATCGCAGCCACGTGTTCAGAATGCCTCTTCTATAGACCCATTATCTACGCTCCCGCTTGATGAGGCTATAATGCAAAGTATCAATGCTGCAGCAACCGAAGAAAGGGCCAAAAAATTTTATGGGAGTATTCTACTTGTCGGTGGTGGTGCACTTATTTCGGGGATTCATAAAATGTTAGAGAATCGGTATGTCTTATTATTATCACTATGGTTTTTCATTGATTTTTTTCACTATTTTTTAATTAACCTCTAAATTAAGCATATTTTCACGGACTCTACCATTTACTGACAAATTTGAGATTCTTGGCTCTCCTCGTGATTTAGATCCAAGACTATTGGCATGGAAAGGTGGATCTGTAATGAGTAAATTGGAAATTGTAAATGAATTATGGATCAATTCGAATGAATGGGAGGAACTGGGTGTAAGGTGTCTTAGAGAAAAGGCATTATTTGTCTGGTGAAATTTTTATTAAAATTTAAATTTAATCAAATGGATATGTTCTCTATGTCAAATGAACTTAACTACCATCTATAAATAATAGTTATATTAAGTAATTTTAGGTACGTACTTATTTACTAAAATAGCCAAATTTATACATGGAAATGTGTTGCTTAATCAGTGTTTAAAATTCAATTTTGTTGAGAACATAATAAAAATTCAAAAAAAATATGCATGTCGTGTATGACAATAATGAAATCCGCAGATTCCAAGAAAATTTTGCTTGTGGAATCCGCATATAAATTTTAAACAAAACGCCAAGTGTAAATTGAATATGCTATATATTACCGTTACTAAATACAAATATAATTTGTAAATCTATACGTATAAATTTAAAATTTTAAAAATAGGTTATAACAAAATTTTAAATATAGGTTTATAACAAAATTTTAAATATATAGAATTTAACTAATTTTAACCACATGATATACTAAAACTCTTTCCCGTAGATCTCAAAAAGCAAAATTTAACATTGTATAGTTATATACGGTTATGGCAGGGAAAGAAGCAATAGATATATTGGTATAGGGCTACACCCTAAATATCCTAATATACTGTCAAGATAAAGAAGCGAACAAGGCACACCCAGTACACCACCCCTGAGGCTTTCGAACATTTTTTCACTCCCAATCTAATGCCAACATTCAGCCTGATGGATTCCCAAGAGACCTTAGTAACTGCCAACCTAGACAATCAACAAATCTACTATCTACTACTAGCTAAGAAGAAAAAAATAAACAAATCACCAAATAAATTTTTAATGGCCATAGATACAACAAACATCTCTCATATTCAATTCCCAGATATTACTCATCACATATCAAAAAAGTAGACAAAACAGCTCACCTCTATTTGCAGATCACATAATATTACTTATTACAAATATTACAACAATGTTTTTATGCCTTCAGATTTACTCTATACAGAGCCTAAACCCTTTGATTATTAAAACAAACAATATCCAGACTAGATTTTAGATATGTCTATACTGAAAATAATCTATAGAACTTTGATGCTACTGCTCATTTACTTATACTTAATTAAGAATACAAACAGATCATTAATAATATGAATATTTTATTAAATGTTATAGTTAAATCTCTATTTACACTCTAGAGTTCTCACAGCAGAGCACTTACCTCCAATAGGATTTTATATGGCAAAATATTTATATTGAACCTTCAAAATAATAGTATACTTATCTAGTTAAATATAGTAACATAATTACTTATCTTAGTATATATACAAAAATTTAATAATACTTATTGAAATAATCAAATTTTCAAAGCCTTTAAGTTCTTAGAACTACTAACACAATTTTTTCTTTATAAAATTATAATATGCTTTACTAAATAAGAAATTTATTTATTTTGATATAGCTTTATTTTAGTCCTTTTTAAAAATTAAAAACACCTAGCTATAGCACTAAGTTAAGTTCAATTTACTATTTCAAATAACAATTTTTTTTTGATGGCCATGTCATACCGTAGGTTTCCGAAAATAAGCTACCTTTTTTGGCCAAAAAAGTGACACAAAAATCATGGGGGTAGCTTATTTTC